TGATCAATAATTGTAAACATGTTTAATGTAAGATGGTAGTGTAAATTAAAATATACTAGAAAGTGTTTAGAAAAGTTTATAAGTTATGAATTTCTTTATAAATTATAAATATATGTTTAATCTAAATGAATAACAATCATTATATCCTTTACTTAAGTGAACTATAAATCCATTCCAGAAGACGAATCTCTTTACTCCATCCCCCAAATAAGATGCTTGAGAGGATCACTGTTGGTGCGTGGCCACTAGGTCTGCAGCCCATCTTTTTCGACCCAGATAACATTGTGATCAAATTGTATTCGAGAATTCTACCATCACAAAGGTACAAAGACCAGAAAAAGGTAAAAGAGGATTTGAAATTGCTCAACATAGGGGCCATGTTTCACGATGTGTTTGTCAAAAGGGGGGTCCGCCGGCAGACACGAATCATGATCAAAAACTTATAAGCGGCGGAATAAATCAATCCAGCAACTACCAACCGTCTTGACTTGGGATCCAAGCACTGGATCAGAGATTCCAAAATCTATCCCCATTGTTCCCCATATCTTGAGGCCCAAGTATACTACAAGTAGCAAACGCTTCTTTTGTTGGCCACAATACGAACACCGAAGGAACAGTGACCCGGCAACTAGCGAAACAAAGCACTAGACTTTTTGCTTGCTTCTCACGAGATCAGTGAGTGTGTGAACTGAGCTGCAACACTGGAATGATGAACGCACCAGCTTTCCGGGAGAAAGCGTAATTCAAGAAAAGATTCAAAGCGAAGTGTGCGTAACACCTGCATTCAAACCAAAACTCTTTCTTTTTCATCTCAATGTTTCTAGAGTATTTACCAAGAGACGTGAATTGCTAAAGGTCTCTGGCACGTCGAGAAGTTGCGATCATAATTTTTGTTTTTGCTACTAGTGGGATTGTCTCCAGTGGATCATGGGTTATAAAAAAGTCTCAAGTTCGTAGTGTGACGACCAGACGAGCACAGGAAGATTGCGAGGGAGTCAGTTTTGCGGTGAGACTTCTTCTCTTTTTTCTTCTCCTCCCGTGACTCCACTAGTGGAGCTTTCTCCGAGAATATTGTGGGCTTGCAGCTCATAAATCTTGTACAATCTTGACCAACTGCTGCTTCGATTCTACACGAGATCACGTTGTTTATAAGTCCTGTGCTTCGTGGATGCAGGCACAGGATCATGGACTCCAAGCCGCTGCTCACTGCTCTCTCGATCTTCTTCCTGGTTTCTACAGCACTCCTTGCAAATGCCGATGCCAAGAAGCCGGGTGGCCACCACAAATATGGCAGAGGCGGGAGCCAAGGATCATGGCAATGGGGAGCCCACGCGACTTACTACGGTGGGAGCGACGCATCTGGGACAAACAGTACGATCCAATTCTCTCCACTCCTTGATCTTGATCTTATTCACGAGCTTATATACTCCCTCTCGACAAAATCTGGTTTTGCAGATGGAGCTTGCGGCTATGGAAACCAGCTGAGCGCCGGCTATGGAACCATCACCACTGCTCTAAGCACCCCTCTCTTCCGCGGGGGCAATGTGTGTGGAGCCTGCTACCAAGTCCGGTGCTGGGGCGATCCAGCGTGCCTCCCGGGAAATCCCTCCGTCGTCGTCACCGCCACCAATCTCTGCCCACCGGGGAGCAATGGCGGCTGGTGTGATCCGCCCAAGCCCCACTTTGATCTCTCGCAGCCGGCATTTTCTCGCATCGCCAGGATCCCCAACGGCCACGCCCAGATCCAGTACCGAAGGTAAACCAACTTTCTTCCTCGATCGCTTGCAGGAGCGATCTTGGTTTGATCGGATGGATTCTGATCCAATGCTCCATCGATCCAGGGTCAAGTGCCAGCGGCAGGGAGGGATTCGCTTCACGATCAATGGCCACACTTACTTCAATCTGGTGCTCGTCACGAACGTGGGCGGCATGGGCGACGTCGTGGGCGTGTCGATCAAGGGATCTAGCAGCGGCTGGCGATCCATGAGCCGGAACTGGGGCCAGAACTGGGAGGAGGGAAGCAATCTCAATGGCCAGGCGCTCTCCTTCCGCGTCACCACCAGCGATGGCAGGACCGTCACCGCCTACAATGTCGCGCCCGGGGACTGGCAATTCGGGAGAACTTACACTGGCAACACCGCCTCGCAGTACTACTGATCGATCCCAAAGCTCTCGATTGATCGATCGAGAGATAGAGCTTATATCCCCTGTTTTTTTTTGTTTGAGCTGAGCTGAGCTGAGGTGAAAATTTCTTCTCTCACCCGCTGCTCTACAAGATCTTAATCTCTACTATGATAGAATGTATCAATCCAAATGCCTGGAGCGCATGGAATCCTGCAAGAGCCTGGGCGAGGGCGAGGAGCTCCACGCCCAGATCCTCGGCAACAAATTCCTCGCCGCGGATGCCTTCGTGGCCAACAAGCTGATCGAGATGTATGGGCGGCTCGGCAGCACCAGGAGGGCGCGGGAGGTGTTCGAGCGCATGGGCGAGGACAGGAACTCCTTCTCGTGGGTGATCATCCTCTCAGCATACTCCAAGACCGGGCAAGTGGAAGAGGCCAAGCAGCTGTTCGATGCGATGCCGGATCGGTGCCCAGTGTCGTGGAACGCGATGCTGGGCGTGTTTACGAAGAATTCTCGGCTTCGCGAGGCCAAGGAGGTGTTCGATAGAATGCCGGAGTGGACGTATGTCTCGTGGACCGCCATCTTTGCAGCATATGCCAAGCACGGGCACTTTGCAGAAGCGAAAACGATCTTTGATGCTATGCCGCAGAGGAACATTATTTCGTGGACTGCCATGCTAGCTGCGTACTGTCAATCTGGGCAGTTTTCCGAAGCACGAAAGTGTTTTGATCGCATGCCGGAGCACGATCTCTTCGTGTGGAACACAATGGTTACAGCACTTGCCGCTAACGGGCATCTTGCGAATGCCAAAGAGATCTTCTACTCCATGCCTGATCGCAACCTCGTCTCCTGGAACGCAGTCTTGACTGCGAGCACGCACCACGGAGAGCTACGAGACTCCAAGTCTTTGTTCGACGCGATGCCGCAGCGCGATCTTGTCTCCTGGACCGCAATGCTCGCCATGTTTGCCCGTGCTGGGCATCTTGAGAAAGCGCTAGTGATCTTCCACTCGATGCCGGCGAGGGACAGGATTGCGTGGAACGTGATGCTCTCGTCGGCCTCCAAGAACGGGGAGCTCGAGGAATCCAAGCGCTTGTTTGATTCCATGCCGCAGCGCGATCACGTCTCCTGGAACGCTATGCTCGGGGCCTACGCTCACAATGGCCACTGGGACGAGGCCGTGGCGCTCTTCTCCGCCATGCCCGAATGGGATCTCATCTCCTCCACGGCCGTGCTCTGCGAGTACGCCCATCGCGGCATGATCCATCACGCGAGGACGGTGTTTGATCGCATGCCCGAGCGCGATCTCACCTGCTGGAACGCGATGCTGGGCGCCTACGCCCAGAACGGCCACGCCCACGCCGCCAAGAAGCTCTTTCTTGATCTGCCCGAGTCGAACCTCGTCTCGTGCAACATCATGCTGGCGATGCACGCCGAGGAGGGCTCGGTGGACGAGGCGAGGCGGATCTTTCACCGGATGCCGGAGCTCAATCTCGTGTCCGAGAACGCGATGCTCACCGCGCTCGGCGAGAGCGGCCACATCCTCGAGTCGCGGGTGATCTTTGAGGGGATGCCGCAGAGGAACAATGTGAGCTGGAATGCGATGCTGAGCACCTATGCCCGTAACGGGCATCTTGATGAGGCTTGGCATATCTTTGACTGGATGCCGGAACGCGATGTTATTTCCTGGAACTCAATCCTCTCAGCAAATGCCCAAAGCGGGCATCTGGAACATACGAAGTTTCTGTTTGATACAATGCCTGTGCAGGGCTTGGTTGCAGTAACCACCATGCTAACAAGTTACGGGCAAAGTGGTCGTGTCACGGCGTCCAAGAAAATATTTGATCAAATGCCAGATAAAGATCCAATTGCCTGGAACGCCATGATTTCGGCTTATGCGCATAACGGGCATTTTCAAAACGCGCTGGATCTTTATGGTGCGATCAAGGTTGAAGAGGAGAGACCGGACGATCGTTGCTTCACCTTGGTTCTTCTCGTGTGTGGACGCACTGGAAAGGTTTGGGATGGCTTGCGTTGCTTCGCGGAGATGGTGGTCGATTATGGGATCGTTGCAAACAAGCTCCAGTACCGATGTATGATCGATCTCTTGAGCAGGGCCGGGCATCTGAGGGAGGCGGAGGAGCTTATCGCGAGCATGCCATTCGAGGCGGAGGTGATGGACTGGCGATGTTTGCTGGGTGCATCGACGAGCTACAGCAATTTGGAACATGGTGCTCACGCAGCTAAGGCTCTCTTGGGTGGCCAAAACGAAGATTCAGCCGCCTATGTCCTCCTTGCGAACATGTATGCGATGAAAAATGGAGTGCCCAGGAAAAGTATAAACATCTCGAAGAGGAGAAGAAGGTCGGCTGAGAGTTTGCGATGAGGCGATGGTTGCTCTGCCTCTAAGAACTGGATCGCCCTGCTGCTCCTGCCCCGATCTCGACGGTTCAAGGGCGAGATATCGCTCCAACTTGCTGATTCACAGGTATGGGAAGCTTGGAAACTTGGAGCTTGCACGCGAGGCTTTTGAGGCCATCAAGCATCCCAATGTTTATGACAATGGGAGCTTGCGGGAAGCAAGAGAGGTGTTTGACAGGATGCCTTCGACAGACAAGGACATTGTACAATCCTGTGTGGGCATTTCCGGCTCGGTAACCTTCGTGAAGCTATGGTGGTGTTTCAAAAGATGCCGGAGAGGGACGTCGTTTCGTGGACTACTCCTCTTTTCGCAAATGCCCAAGAAGGGCATTTTTAATTTTCAACGGCCTTGTTTAATATGATGTCCGTACGTAGCGTCTGGAATACACTTTTACAAGCGTACACATTGTTCAAGAGGCTCGTAAATTGTTTTTGTAAATGCCTTACCGAGATGTTTCAACGTAGCTGGAAATGTTGTAGCGGGGCATTGTGCTGAGGCTCAAACATGCTTTTAATCTATGCCAGAGATGGACGTGGTTTTTTTCACGGCAATGATGAAGCTTTTGGCGAGGTTGGGGACTTGCAAGGAGCGCAAAAAGTATTTGATTCCTCTCCCGCGAGACATCGTGTGCTGGAGCACTATGGTAACTAACGCGTATGCCCAGCGTGGGCATCCGGAAGATGCTAAGTGCCTGTTTGACAGGATGCCTGACTGGAACAGGGTGGCCTGGTCGGCCTTGAGCTCGGCCTACGGCCAGCAGTTCCATCTCGAGGCAGCCATGCAGGTGTTCTTCGCGGTTTCCTGCAATGCAGTCTTGACCGTTTACTCCAAAAGCTGCCACCTTGAGGCAGCCATGCAGGCGTTCGACGCAATAGCCTACCGTAATGTGGGATCCTGGAACTCACTGCTCGCAGCTTATGCCGATAACGGGAGTCTAACAAACTCAGCAAAGGTATTTGCAATGATCACCTAGACGTGGTTTTGTCGTCGTTGATGGTTTTCATGAGATAATCTCCGCCATCCATTTGCTCTTGTACCATGTCAGTGCTTGTGATTTCCATCGAGACTCGAGGTAGTGTTAGAGCGTTTTAAAGTTTGAAAAGAGACAACTTTAGCAAAAGCAGCTCTTCACTTAAACAATCAAACCACCGTAAACCAGCCACATACCATTCCAACTACCCATACTTCCCCACTGCCAAGAGTCGCCCTGGGTATTTTGTTCGGTACCAGCTCTTCTTGTCCGCCTCAAGACAGTATAGCGTGGCGTCATCCACGGGCAGCCCCACCACAGAACCATCTTTCTCCGTCTTGACAACAATCCCACTCAGCCTCATGCTCCTTGAATGTGAATCCCATTCAACGATAACATCACCCATTTGGACACCAGTGACGATGCCAGCCACTTCATCTGGTAAGTAGTGCTTCTTGAGGATTGCAGGGAGTTCAACTTCCCCAGCCCGCCGCACAAAAACCACCTCTTCATTTCGAGGCAGACCAAGGCACCTTAGGAGGTAGTTCCAACTGAATCAGAAAAACACCCGATCAGGATGAATCAGGATATTGAAGCAGTAGCTTACCGGTTCGAAGAGCTCAACAGCAGCCACCCAAGGCTTCCTGGGAAACAGGGAAACAACCTCACCTTTCACAGTCTGCCCATTGATCGTCACAGTGGCTTCCTAAGCCTGGTTGTCACCGAGGCGTTTATCAATGTCTCATCTGCGTGGTCAATGTTACGGTGGCAAGCCGTATGAAGTACGGACAGACACAAGTGCCAGTTCGGATGCCAGCGTTTTTGGTTTGACCAAAATCTCATGGATAGAAATTCATTCAATGGTCAAACACAACATGGTATCGGAGCGTTCAAGACATTTCTGAAGGCTTGGTTGAGACATTGCTTGCTGGAGTGGACATTCCGGAAGTTTCTCGCACCTATGTCGATGCTCTTGCCTCTCCTAACAAAGACAAATGGGTTGCAGCCTTTGATGAGGAGTATAACTCCTTTCTCAAGAACAACACCTTCTCCTTGGTGGAAAGAGCTCCGGCCGGGCGTAAACTAGTGAAATCCATGTGGATTCCTAGTATCAAGCTCAACCCAGACCACACCATTTCTCGCCACAAGGCTCGCTTGGTGGCGAAAGGCTACTCTCAAGTGGCTGGTGTGGATTACACTGAGACGTTTGGCCCGGTGGTCAAGCTGACTACCATTTGCACCTTGCTCGCTTTAGCAGCTATGCACACCAGATGGATGTCATGATGGCTTTCCTGAATGGAGAGCTTGATGAGGCTACAAGGTCCCAGGAGACATTCTCTTGAAGGACCTTGGTGAAGCTTGTTACTGCCTTGGCATCCAGATTGATCGCAGACAAGATGGCTGCCGCTTTCTGCATCAAAGAAGATGTCCTGCAATGATTCGCCATGGACTCTTGTGCGCCTGCACCCACGCCAATGGTTGCTGGCTTAAGACTTTAAGACTTTCCAAGGATACGTCTCCTTCTACAGATTTGGATAGGAGGAAAATGGCGAACGCTCCTTACCGACGTGCCGTGGGAAGCTTGATGTACCCGGTGGTGTGCACACGATCAGACATTGCCTTCTCAGTGAACATGGTAAGCAGGTTTCTTGACAATCCAGGCCCTACACATTGGCAAGCAGTAAAAAGAATTTTTCGGTAAGCTACCACTTCTTTTGGCTTACTTTACATGCCAAAAATTCACAAGGCTACTGTGATTCGGACTAGACTGGTTGCCCAGATTCACGAAGATCACAGACAGGCTATTTTTTTAGCTTGCAACAAGCAGCTCTTTCTTGGAGCAGCAAGAAACAGAGTGTTGTGACTTGCTCTAGTTGCAAAGCTGAGTATATGGCCGCTAGTGCTGCTTGCAGGCTTCAACGTCTTCTATCAGACTTGGAACACTCTCTTCCAGGTTCAACAGCGATCTATTTTGACAATCAAGGCTGCATTGCCTTAAGCAAGAATTGCAAGATCAAGTCAAGAACGAAGCACATGGACACAGTACACCATTTTCTTCGAGACCAATATGAAGATGGAATCGTCGAGCTTGTGCATTGTCCTACTCAGGACATGCCTGCTGACGTTCTGACCAAGGCACTCTCCCAACTGAAATTTTCTCAGTTTTGGGCTGCACTTGGCATCTGCCCGAATGGGAGTGTTACGGTGGCAAGCCATACAACATACGGACAGACACCAGTGCCAGCTAAAACTCCAGGAGATGCATTGTTTTTGGTTGTACATTGACCAAAATCTCATGGATAAAAATTCATTCGATGGTCAAACACAACAGTCAAGATATCACATAACCAAGGTAGCTCAGTAGTAGAGCACTGTTCAATCCCTGGTCAATTTCCAATAGTGGGCAGTGCCTCCTGCAATGATTTCAATCTCTTGCTTGGGCTTGAATTCAGCTTTGCTATCCTTGCTTCTGAGTAGCACTTTACTACACAACCTTGCAAATGCCCAGGTTACACATCTTGTTGTTGTCCAGTTCCATGGATAAAGCTTTCCTGCCAATGATCCACAGCTTATGATTAATGAGCAAGCAATGGGATTTCTTATCTGTAGACTGCATCTACTGCAATGTAATTGGATTGATGCTGATTCCCATGCTGCAAACACTTTGCAGTTTTGCATTCATTTGTCTCAAAGAGTCAGCTTTAGATTTCAGGCAAATGATTGACTTGATTTTAGATCTCCTTGTAGATCTTCTGCAAGTAATCGAGATTATCTCCTATTTAACTATGTTTGCATCTTTAGTGTTTTTCCTCTTTTGTTCCCTTTTTCATTGTTGGTAGGTTGACACAAATCAGTGCGCCAGCTCCAAGCATATCATACTTCAGCCACTTGCTACACTTCATTTGGATCCTTGCAATTGATTCTTCTTGTAAGGCCATCCTCGGCATTCTCAAACTGATCGTTGGCGAGAGCTGGCATTCATAAGGATTGTCAATCCCTAAGCCATACATCAGTCTAGCCTACTATAACTTTAGCTGATCATATATATCTAGAGAGTGGAATTCTTAGCAATGCTAGCCATGGCAAGCTGCTGGATTTGAAAAAGACCATGTCAATAGAACACAATAGCATAACCAGTGGTAGTTCAAAAAAGCCATGGAATTTGAATTGCTTGAAAAGCTATGCACCCCTGAGCACAACTGTATGTGAGTAGTCCTTATCAAGAATAAGATATATAGCTCTTCAAATCCTAATAATCATATCTAAAGTAAAAATGGCAAGAAGTGATTCATCTAGTACTGCTCATAGCAATAGTGAGTCTGGGATTATTTCAACAAGCCTAAAATGATGGGTACTCTAGCTTAGGTTTAACTCAAGCCAAATGTAAAACAAAGACAGACATGTTTAGTGAGAAGTTAAAAAATGTCTATTTGGCCACACTATCTTTATTATACATTTGAAACCCCCTTTATAAACATTTGTCTCAAAGAGTTAATTTTAAATTACAGGCAAATAAGGGACTTGATTTTAAATCTCCTTATAGATCTTTTGCAAGTAAATGAGAATATCTTTGCATCTCTCATTTTTTTCTCCTTCGTTCCCTCCTTCATTGTTGGCAGATTAACATGAATCTCATTGTTGTGTTCTCTCATACACTTTTTTTCAAGTGTATCATACTTTAACACTTGCTACACTTCATTTGGATCTTTGCAATTGATTCTTCTTGCAAAGCCACCCTTGGCATTGAAGGCTCTCAAGCTGATCTCTAGCTAGAGTTGGCATTCATAAAGATTGTCAATCCCCAAGCCATACATAAGTTTGGCATACCACATTGCAAACAACTTTAGTTGATAGCTGATAGTTATTTCTTGGAGTAGCAAGACATAAAGTGTGATTGCCTCTTCAAGCCATAAAACAAAGTATGTCACTTTTTATGGGACTAATTTTAAGATGGGGTAATTAACTACTACCCCATATAGGACATGCTCACACATGCACTTTTAAAGCTATTATCCACATTAAAGTTTCCCAATATTGTGCTGTCTTGGATATCTATCTGAGTGGGTGTTAGACCAAGTGAATAGCCATGTAGCTGATACATCACATAGGGAAACACATTTGACTCATTTTTTTTCTTTTGTTGTTTTGATCTTGATTAATTCAATCTAAATCAACCACAACAAAAAGTGCCTCCTTATGAGGAAGTGCAATGTGAGGAAATGGAAGAAGTGCCTCAACACAAGGAGATAGCAAAAGTGCTTCAATTATAGTGCATGTGGTTTTTTATCTTTTACCTATAATGATTTATTATAGGATAACCACAAACCTTGCATACATGGGTCAAACATAACAAAATGAAACCATTGAATAAAGTCGCAAAGCTAAACTCCCAAGTTTATAACTAAGGAGTGATAGAGTAAAAGCATGAAGTAACTCCTAAGTGTACAATTAAAGAGTGAACAAATAAGAGCAAAGAGTAACATTGGAATAGTCCTAGAGCATTTAGCATCCTAACACTAAAACCAATATGCAAAAAAACATTTAATGAAATTTAGCATTATTAATATGAGGATATAAGTACTCCGCCAGCTAACATAATATGCAATTTAGGTTTAGACTCAAGCCAAATGTAAAACAAGGACAAACACACATAATGAAAAAATAAATAACATCTGGCTAACCATACCTAACCTACCCACTATCCCTATACATTTGAAACCCCTTATAATACCCCTCCTTCCCCTCATCCCCCACTCTCATTGAAAAAGAGTTAAGTTTTTGAGATAATCATAAAAACTTACTAAATATAGAATGATACTAAATTGTGAATTTGGATTCGAAAACAACACTATTGTATATTTACATTCCATAAATATGCCCACCTAGCAAATTTAGGCACTTTTTATAAATAGCCAATGGGACTATATAGAATTAATATATGGGGAATGATAGTGAGAATGTTTTAGCAGACATGGTAACCTATTATATAGCAATTATTGAGG